TTTATTAGCAGGCAGTTTGTGTGCCAGCCAAGTTTAAGACCACGTTGTTGAAAGCAACTCTAGACTCTAGGTTTGTCAATGTGTACTTTAAGGCGGATTCAGGCATGTACACAAAATTTTCTTGATGTAAGTTGACATAGAACTTCGCTGTCGTAAGAGTCCGTCTTTGTGATTACAAATTGAAGAATTTCTAAATAGGTTTTTTTATTATACGTACTACATATTAATGGTTTTCTGCAGATTTTAAAAGTAAATGTAAATAATTAAGAAAACTGTAAATTAAAAACATAGTTAATGTTAACTTAAACAGTATTTTGAAGTTTGTTGCCGTCATACAATGGGGTATTCTCCTTAAACTATTTTTTTCAAGAATCAAGAAGTAGAGATAAAAGTATGGTAGTAGGTATTTTTTGCTGAAAAGCAAATTTTAAAGTTTTGATGACGTCACTAAACGCAAATTCAAATTTCTAGGGGATTTCAAAATTCTGTAGTGGTAGCTTCGTAATTACTAACACTTTTTTGACATTAAATATTTTACACCAACCTCATTATTCTTTGTTTATTTCATATATGTAATACTCCTATATCGCAGCAGAGAGAAGCGCGTCGCCACTAGTAGAGCGCAGACGATCGGTTTCTCTCTCCCACAATGACTGGTACTCTTGGATGTCCAAAACTTAGGACGCATGCGGGAACATAAGTTTGTCATAGTCGTCGCAGGTCTCAGTTGACTGCTAACCATATTAAATAAAATCAGAGAGGAGGGTTGTCGTTGATAATACCAGAAATATATAATATGGCCGACAAAGGTGCACTGTTGTAGTACGTCCGTATTGTTGTTTTTTTTTTTGGAAATTAGTGCAAAGTGCATCGTCCGTATTGTTGAAAGTTTATTTTTTTGGTAACTTAGTGGGTACATGTATGTGGCCAAAATGAGGTATGAATGTTATTTATGTGGGTGCCTTTCTGACAAGATGAAAAAAATCTCATTGCACAGGTACGCATTGGGTATTTTCATGCATAATATTTATTCAATAGCCAAGAAAGAAATATCACGACTTAATAAAAGTTTAGATTTATGAATTGTATGAATTTGGCTTTTTTAATTTACATTTTGTAACAAAATTTCCTTTCATATGCGAGTGCCGCAAAATTAGGTTACTTTTAGATAATTAATTACGTTTATGCGGTTCTATTTTAGACTGGCCGTTAGTTACCCTTTTGCGTAGATATAAAATTTATTTTTCGACGGAAACTTGCCTGAATTTTATTACGGTACCTAACACAGATAAAAATGTTTATTGTTAATGATTTTTTTATTTTTAGTCACCATAAACCCAAAAAAATGACCACTGTGCGACGCCTATGTACGATGTACGCACATAATTTATATGACAGCCGCACATGCGCGTGAGCACCGTACAGCATCCCCACCCCGATCTTGCATCTCTATCTCTCGGCTCGCTTTTGCTTCTACAGGCGAAGATAGGACGCTGGCGATATAGGAGTATTACATATATGGTTTATTTCATAAACAGTTTTTAAGTGAAGTGAATTACTAAAGTGTTCATATAATAAACTATATTTTATACTAACACATTTGGGTGGATATCATTGTAAATTGCAAGTAAAGTGGTAAAAAATGTCATACGAAAATTGTGATGTTAGTCACAGACCTTTATGTCAGAATTTTTGGCGATTTCCCTAAATTGCCCTTAGTGATGTAATCATGCAAAATTTAAACTTTAAATTGAAATAAAATATAATAAAGTAAACATTAACTCCATGTTTATTTCATACTAAAAAAAATACCCCATTTTGATATATATAAAACAAAGATGTTTTAGCACAGAACTATTTTACCACTACAGGTAATTACCAAAATACCCAACAATCTATGTACAAAGTTAGACTCGTGCGAACTTTTGTGTCAATTAATACTTTACTACAGACACAGACATATACCACAAACTTGCATTTCGGACATATGCATGTGACAGACGCAGTGCATTTAATACATTGGCTGATATATCTATGTATGTACACGTATTTCTGCGTCAACAAATTTCTATGTATGAGCCTGAATTTACATTTAAATTACAGTACCTACTTAATTTCAAATTCTTAACATTTGAGCAGATAAACTTATAAAATTCGGCATCTAATTTTTATCCACTTGTGGGAAGAAAATTTAAAGGGATGCAATTAGGGAATACTAAAAATGTTTTTTATCAAAAACGAAATCCTTTCGAGTGTAATGTTAGTGTGTACTTGCACACTAGAGGGTGTTTTACACAATAATTTATTTCGATGGAAAAAAGCATTTAATTTTCTTTTCAGAACTAAATAGTATTCGTTTTAGAAACAATGCTTCATCAGTTGCGGTAGGAGGAGGTATCATTAGAGGGACCAAAACTTTTCAGAAAATTAACCCTCCCAAAAGAGTTTTTTCATGTAATGACACTTTTTGTATAACATTTTTAAAAAGAGCGATATAGTGAGCCAGAATTTAATGCATTCTCATGTGTCATTTATGGAGATGATTTGTCTAAAGAAGAATTTGTAGAGGAGCTACGTAAGGTATTATCACCTATAATAAACCAAAAGCTAATTATACCGAAAGCTAATTTTGTCATAGGAAATGCTGAAAGCATATTGCTTGATAATTGCCCGAGATTACCTTTAAGCAATAGGTTTAAAGTAATCTGTGACAAAATTTTGAGTTTTTATCACGTCTTGAGGTGTATTTGGTAAAATAATTGTTACTATGCCATATAAGTGACACGATCATGAACTCGGCGCCTTAACTCACTGATAGCAATTTTTTTAAGCCCGCATTACTTTTTTAACAGTTTTGACAGTAGTTTTCTTATGACATAATTCAAAAAGTTCTATGCCATAATTTACAGTGTGTCCATCAAAAGAAAGGGGCAAACAGGTCTTATTGTTTTTGACCTTGACGCCAAATGAAAAGAACACAAACATATTGCATGGATGAGCTATTTTACTGTCAGATTAAAAATACAAAGATAAACTCCAGCAAGTAAGAAAACGTCGAAATGAGATAGAAGATCTATTGTTTATCATCCCACAACATGTAAATGGTCTATTTCATACTCAACATCCGAAAAATTTGCGATGTTAACCAAACTGACAGGATATGGTCTTAAGATTTTGATCTGGTTTTGGCGGTTCTGTAATTTTATCTGTCTTTTGTGATTGATTGATTAGACTATGGGCGGGCACAAGTCCCTTGCACGTAGGCCTCCTAACGGGCCCATTGTGCACCCACATTCCTTTCAGAGTCTCAGCCAGGTATGCCCACCTCTTTGGCAAAGGTGTATAGCTTCCTGGGCTGAATACTCTTGACATCCTCCGGGTTCAGAACACTGCTCCCAAAGTGCCGTTCTCTGACCCTTGCAATTGCAGACACAATCGGCATTCGGGGTCTTCTGCGATCCCAATCAGCTGAAGGTGCCTACTTAGGTGACAATGACCTGTGAGCAGCCCCGTCACCATTCTAATGTCACTTCGGTTTATACCTAAGAGACATTTAGTTAGCTTAAGCAAAGGCCCTTCTATATGGGCCTTTGCTTGTCGCATTTCGGGGTCACGTGCCATGAATTTTTGAACACCTTAGTTAGGAGTTCTTTCATGGCCGAGACCCCCATTGAGTATGGTACCCCTAGTATGTGCTCCGGCCCAATAGGGTACATTGATAAACCTTCTCTAACCAGTCTATCGGCCTCCTCGTTTCCCCGGACACCTGAGTGTCCTGGGACCCAGGTGAGTATCATTTTGTTACGACTGGCCAGATCATTTAGGGTCTTTCTGCACTCAAGGACAAGCCGTTACTTCACCTTGCTGGATTCAATGGCCAACAAGACCACCTGACTGTCCGAGCAAATCTGTATAGTTCTCCCCTTTTGGAGCCCTTTTCAGGTTTTCCAACCCGCACGCCAATATGGCGTACACCTCGGCCTGGAAGACGGTGGCATATGACCCCAGGGCAAAAACTAGTTCTGTCCCTGTGGTTTTCCCATAGACCCGCTCCTGCCATATCACCAATTTTGGAGCCATCCGTAAACCAGACGATTCCGTTTTGGCATATAACTTGTTTTTCGTCATCCCAGACTTGCCTGTTAGGAATCTGAATCCTTAGGGTTTGACTAGGACTAATGGTTGGCTCTACTCGGTCCTGTGACATAAAAGGCACCGGACAGTTTTGGGTGGCCTTTTTCCATATTTCTACGTGGCCATAAGGCTGTTCCTCACCCTTCCAGTGTCCGAGACCGGAAAGTCTGTAGGCCGACCTTATAGCCTCGTGTTAAATAGCCAGATGCAAAGGAGGTAGCCCCGTTAAAACCTCTATGGCTGTGGTGGGGGCCGTTCTCATAGCACTGGTTATTCCTAGACAGGCCAGCCGTTGGACCTTATCTAATTGAATCCGAGACCTTGCGGTCTTACTCCCTGGCCACCATATAATGGCACCATAGGTAATAATGGGGCGAACATTTTGGATTTCTAAATATTAATATAAAATTTGTAATTCGTGACTCCGAAAATTCCCATATGTCTAATTCGAGTTGCATAAGGCCATTTCGTCCTCCATATATTGTAGCTGCCATGTTGAATTTTAGTTATATAAAAGTGTTCTCGGAGATCATGTATGCATGCATAATTTAAAATTCAATATTAAAAACAATATTTTTTCATTGATAGAGAACTATAAATGCTTTAACGCAGCCGGGGCTTGAACCCGGGACATTTGGCTTTCCGGGCCAATGCTCTTCCAACTGAGCTACCGCGCGTCCACGCCTTAATTCTCCTATTCGGGGGTACCGTTCTTTACATAATTTACTACAGCTCGGCCATACCTGACAACACAGCCGTCCTCGGCTGCCGGCCATAATCCGACACCTTAAACATAATTCATAAAGTGGACTGTGCTGTCAAGTGGATTCCACCATCCCCTTCTGAAGCTGTAGGAGAACTAAAAATCTTTAAAACCGGGGCTTGAACCCGGGGTACCTTTGGGTTTCCGGACCAATGCTCTTCCAACTGAGCTACCGCGCCTCCACACCTTAATTCTGCTATTCGGGGGTACCGTTCTTTACATAATTTACTACACATTAAAATGTTATTACGCAAAATTCACGCCGCCACTGGGTTTTATTTACAAACAATAGTAAAGACGCGTATGCCTACCACAAATTCCTGTTTATTAGTTGGACAAACGTTGCTTTACTTTGGGTATTGCTGTTACCTATTTTCAACGTTGTAGCTAGGGTAGGGCAACCGGGGCCCACGCCATGGGCGCAACCTTGTGGGGCGCAAAATCACAGGCTGACAAATGCGCTACTTGACAACAAACTTCATTAGGGAGGTTGGGGCGCAAAATTATGATGCTTGCCCTGGCCGCTGTAGCTCCTAGCTACGACACTGCCTATCTTTGTATTTTTAATCTGAGATTTTACTACACCTTAATATCTAACAAGACTGAATAAAAATAGGTATCTAAATACCAAGTTAGAAGAATCTAAATAAATTATTATCTATCCAAAATAATCCTTAGAGTCTTATAAAAGGACATTTTTATATGGGACCCTAAGTTTATTTATTATCACCTGTAAAAATAAATAAATTATGCTAAGACATAGACCCGTCGCGTCGCGTTAATCCATTCTATAGTGGTACATTGCACATCATGTTTAGAAATTTAGAGTGGATATTAACAAAATAATTTATTTTAGTTCAAAAAACAAGTGATTCTAAGGACTGAGGGTGTTGCATTTAGAGTTTGTTGTTCTGCAAAAGTTGACCCTGAAGAAGAACTTCTTCTGTTTAATGAATTCTTCCCAAACATTCCATTATTGGGGTTAAATGCTGATGGAGAAATTGGATGGGATTGCTTTCTCTCGACACAATATAGTGGTAAATATAGCAGTTATATATAATACAACACATATTAACTATTTATTACTCTAGTGAAACCCGAAAATATTCCGGAATTTTTGCATTTTTGCAAAAGAAAATATTTTTTTATTTTAATTAATTGTATTATACAATAAAATTTAGGGATGTATAATTCCAGAAGATGGCGAAACAAAAGCTAAAAAACCCAAGCAGAAGTATCCCAAAGTACAGCATCAATGGTCTACAATTTTAGTTCTTGTGACTTGGGGTTCGGTACAATCAACATAAAAGAATTTTTTTCTTTATAAGGATAACGTTTTGGTCCATCATGTCCAGTGACGACTAGTGAATTTTAAAACATAGTACCCAAATTATATTCTAGTCGGTGATTATTATGCTCATGATGTTAAGACAAAACAATGGTGAAATCGGCATATTTTTACAAAATTTAGATTATCCACCCAGAATGAATTGTCCAATCCAAAATGAATCATTTGATTTTTGTGAAATATATGACTCCAGATATAAATACGCCTTCTGACACCAAAAGGTGTTTTACCTTTCATTTCACACCACTTGTTTGCATAATGCTAGATCCAGAAGTGTGGAATAAAGAGGGATTTAAAAATTTTGTGGAATGTCACGCGAGGCTGTCATAAGCATGATGCTTTTTGGAACATATATGGTCTGCATTAATGTTTTCAGAATTAAGAAAAAACCTCAGTACAATCAAAGACGCTTTAAGGAAAGATTCCAAACTACATACCAATTCAACGATTGTGCCCTTTTAAATAGATAATTTAGGCAGTTACCTATTCATGCCGCTTATAAGATAAGATATCTTCTTGGGTTTTTCTTTTGAATGAACTTTATAAGTGCCGAACCATATTACGATGACATCATCAATAAGTTTGAAGCTTTAAAGCTGCATAGAATTAATACTTCTTATATTTAAACAATAGATGAATATGGTGAGTTTCTTAGATATACTTCATTTCACGCAGTGAAAACTTGATATCCTAGGCAACATATTGTTACAATATGTTGCTTATGATATCAATTTTTTCTTACGTGAAATGGGGTATACTCTTTTTTTAATGGCGAATTCGCCACTTAGTATCCATCCGCTTCACCTATCCACGAGCCGCCTCTGAGTTCAACATTAAAAAAAATTAAAATGCATCTGGGATGTAAATAAAGAAATAACTAAAAAGCGGACAAAAATAGTTGTAATATCTTAGTTCTATAATAAATAATAAAGAGATGCCAACTGTTTTGTCCGGTTTAAGTTTTTATACTGTTTCAGTTGCTTTCGTCAGGACTACACAAGAATTTGTCTTTTTTTGTTTTTTTTTTTTATTAAAGTTTTATTTCCATAAAAATTATTACATTTTGGATGTAGAAATCAAAATCACATCACACAATCACAATCAAAATTCACTGATGCATAACCAAGAATTCATATTTTGACTCACGTTTTGCCCAAACAACATTTTATATAAACTTAATAATTACCACTTAAAATATAATTTGGGTCCCATGTTTCATAAGCAAAAAATATAGTCGCTTATCTCACCAGGTACGTATCTGACAAAAATTTTAAAAAACAATACATCATAAGTAATTCTTTCATTACATTCTCTTTAATGTAACTTTTATTTCATCAAGGGGCATAACTACATATGGTATGGTTATTATATCCTATTATAATTTGTTGGTAGCGTATGTATGAGGATCTAAAAAAAATACATTTTTTTATCATATCAAAAACAACAAATGATCGGAGTTGTACAATTCATTTAATACTAGTAACTTTCTTCTGCCCTGAACAATAATTTATAAAATATCAGTTACATCATTACATGAGATAGGGGACAATGTCTATAAATATCAAATATGTAAATGTAATGTATTTTGTATTGTATATATTGAATGTGGAACAATAAACCATTGTGTTTAATATGACTGATGCTTTTAGTCGCTTTACAGTTGTCAATTTTCATTGAGAACAATAAAAGTTATAGCAATTAGTATGGCTGCAGAGTAGTTTTACAGTCAGCAATTATTCGAATATAATCTTGCCAACAATGTTACCAAGATTTAAGGAACCTATATTAGATTCCTACAGTTAAATAAGCAAAAAAAAATTAACAAGCATTTTCATAACTTCTTATGTGTGTTGGTATACAAAGAAATTAAAATGATATATTTAGTAATTTTTGTTGCAGTTGGCAGATCCTAATTCACATTGAATTATTCACGTGAAATGCTATAAAATTATCTTCAGACCTTGCACCAGCTGATTGAAAATAATCTGCCGGTGTTCAATAAAAATTATTGCAATTTTTATTTCCAACAATGAAAAGTGATAATTGTAAGTGGTTCTTAATTTATTTAATCAACATAACAAATTTCAGTCAGTAAAACCTGAAATAATAGACCTTACATTAATCAAATTGAACATTACTACAAAATATTAAATAGATATTCTGGTTCGAAACAAATAGCTAGCTAAAGAATTTTGTTCTGAAACGCATAAAATAATATGCCGATATAATATTTACAATATTACAATACACAGCCGGAAATTGAAATTATTTCACGTAATCACTAAACACTTCCTCAGGTTCTTCCAAGTCTTTAAATAATTTTGCCTTTTTTATTTGCCTTATTTCAGGTGGAAATTCCATCAGTCTTGTGGCTATATAAGCACCAAAGGCTTCCTCTGATGTCTGATGACGCACAATACTAATTGTACTAGGCTGTGCAATCTCTTTAACTCTTGTAGATGTACTATTCACTACGTTACTTTCAAAGGTGGTAACGTCTTCTATTTCTTGGAGTTGTATCGTCAAATTCTTCCTCAAGAAGGGACATAGACTCGGGGATAATTTAACCGATATTGGGTCCCACAATTTCGAATTAGATGATGGTGAAAAATGGTCAGAGCTATCATTTGGTTCTTGTTGCTTTTTACAAAAGCCTTTACTTTTCCTTAAAGAAAAAATTTTAACTTTTAATATAATAGTATAATCATTAATGCATAGGGTTTATCTACCTAAGTGAACGTCTGCTTCTAATAAAAGGACTCAGAAATTCCATTGCATCATAAAAATCCCATTTTGAGAGGTATTGCTGATTGGCTGGTTGGCTTATAGCGATTTTTCTTTCTCTTGTGTACTTGTCTCTTATGTTTTTCCATACTCTGATACAGTCGTCAACTAGAATTGGTTAATATTTTTTTCATTATTTTTTTTTAAACAAATTGTAAACAAATGTTTGGTAAATGAAAAGCTACAGATTGAGGGTGTGTAATTACAAACATATATTTTTTTAATATTCATTGGCTAATTGAAGAGAAAATTATTTATCATTTATCCGTTCACAAAAAAAAAACAAAATGAATGGAGCATTCTGTATGACTAAATTTAATTCCTAAATGTAATTGTTCGAGATGTGACGTACTTCAAACAGTTAATACTATTCTAATTGAGTTTACTAGAAAAATTGTCCTAACTTATGTAGATAGTTACTATTATTGTTTGAGTAATACCCAGATGGTATTTAATGAAGGAGAAGGAACTAATTATTCACTTATGACAGAACATTTTATATGAATTGGTACCCTGTAAACATCAGATAGGACTTTCTAATGTAATAAATGTGTAGTTAGTGACCCACTACATAAAAGCAAAAAAAATAAATTAAGTAATTTTTCAGTTTCGGACCTTTTGTTTTTTCCCACAGTAACATTATTCTAAAAATTAAAAAACCATCAAAGGGGAGATAATATAAAAAATTACTAACTTTTATTAAATTATAAATACCAAAATACTTGGAAAAGTTAAGAAATTCTATAATCCTTAATATTGGTGGAAACCCTGTTGTCAAACAATTTCGGCATAGAAAAAAATTTTGTTTAGTGGAAAAGGTTTTATACTTACTAGGTATTTTTATCGTTGTAGCAATCCTCTTCCAAGTGTTTCTAACGTAGCATAACATCTTTAAAATTTTTATGGCTATGATCATAGATGTGAGGAAAATTTTGTACCAGTTTTATTAGCAACCCTATATCGACATCTGAAAATATAACTATTAAGAGGAGCATTTTACACTTTTAAAAGTGACTATTATTTTTTATCCTAAAAACACACCA